ATTTCTTCAAAGAAAAAAAATTAAAATGTTTATCATTTATTAATTCTCATTTGGGAGCAGTGAATGAATGAATGTCTTCCCACAACCACCATAGTTTAAGTCCTAATAATTATAGTATAAACAAACTATCATTTTGCAAATTATATATTTACTAAGAAGATGCCCACTTACACTATAAGTAAGTAGCAGATACTTGGGCATTTTTATTAAAAGAGAACATTATAAAATGGAAGTTACAAAATTTTCTTAATAAAATTCCACTCAAGTTCAAAGTACTCCAGTTTTCCATGGTGAAACAGTCATTTTTGTTGAGCAAAATGTGTGTACTTGATGAATATGTAAGTACATATTCTTTTTGACTCTGTGAAGAATTTCTTGTCAACTGTTTTATTTCTTAATCTGTGTTGTACAGGTAGTGTCATTAAGATGTTTCATACGCTTCAGAAGTGGGACGCCTAGAATATGATGGCAATGTAATTACATAGTACATCATAAGCCATCCTATTTGGCATAGCTGAAGATTACTTCAGAGCTTTGAATTAATCTGAATGACCCTGTCTTTATTGCTTTTGAGTTTCTAGAAATGATAAAATGTCAAGTCATTGGAAATAAACCAATGGAACCTAAACAATCTGACATGACTAATGCATAGTTTCTCTGACTTGTTCCATATTCTGAAGACTGTATTATCAGCTACACTATTTTATTGTGAAATACTTGTCTTAATGAATTTGAGTGCCTTTCACCTTACTAAAGTGTATGTGTGCCTTATAAAGGAAAGAAATGCAGTACTATTTAAATCTGTGTTTTATGTATTGTGTAAATGGTATATTCCTGCTCCATTCTCATTTCATGTAAATTGGAGTGGACATGAAGACTCTTGCTTGTGAATTATTAGTGAGTCAAGTTTTTTGACAATGGAACTATCTCCTTTTACCATGAGTTTTCCAAAGCCATTAAATATGAAAACCATTTATGTGCACAGTTTACACTGCAACACTTAAATAGATACATTTTTATTTGTCCTATTTTGATAGAGTACTACAGAGGAAAGCTCTCTTCATATTTCTTGCGATTTTTCTCATAAAATAAATTTGCGTTTGTAAAACAAACAAACCAAAAACCTAGTGCCTTAGTATATTTTCTGGAAAATGGAACTTGTCCATCTATAGCAAGCATTATCTGATGCCATTCAGATAAGTATTCAGACTAAAATGTACATATAAGCAAAACTTAGATATGTTGAAACAAAAATTCCAATTTTTAGAGTAGCTGGTTATACTTGATAACTTTATTATTTGAAAAAAAAAAAAAAAAGTAAACAGATTGTGGACAAACCTGACTATTGTGAAACACTTAGGATCAAAAGACTGTAGGTTGCAAAGATTGCATTAAGTTTTGCTTCTCCCAAATTATTAGAAACCACAGACTCCCCTTGAGCATTTCCCTTCATTCTTTTATAGACAATAGGAAAACAATACAATTGACTGTTATTGATATTATCATTTGACCCTCTTTGCTCTAATTGCCTCAAGTTCAAACCTTGCTCTAAGTTTAGCAAATATTGAACATTTCCATATTCCAGGCACTGTGCTAAGTCTTTAGAAAATAAAACCTACTGAAGTAAAGTCATTGTCTATTAGAAGTGGCCAGTTTGACTGATCACTGGGACTAATTTTTAAGAGACTTTTTTTTTACAGTGTTTATATAACAGCCAACATCAATATGGAGTCCTGGTATGCACTGTAGGTTAAGGTGCAAAGTCGGTTTAAAACTCAAGGTCTTCAGTTCTAGCTCATCAGATGCTCCTTAGAAACTCTATACAGGATTGCTATCGATTGGAACAGACTTGATGGCACTTAACAACAACAATATCTTTATGGACTCCTGGTGTGGTGATATAGTATAAGTATTGGACTGTAATTGCAAAATTGGCAGTTCAAACTCGCCAGCCACTTCTCCAAAACCCTGTTGTTGTTGTTATGTGCTGTAGAGTCGGTTCCGACTCATAGTGAGGGTACCCTGTACAGGGTTTCTGAGGTTGTAAATCTTTATGGGAGCAGAAAGCAGCAACTTTCTCCCGTGGAACAGCTGGTAGTTTCGAACTCCTGACCTTGCAGTTCGCAGCCCGATTAATAACCACTATGCTACCAAAACCCTGTACAGGATTGCTGTAAGTCAGATCCAACTCAAGGGCCCTTACAGCAACAACAATGTGTCCATAACAACATTGCTACTAAGCATGTTTTTTCCATGAAGGACTAATTGATTCATTTATTCTCTTAAATTTGTTCTTTGATTCCAGATATTTTAAAATTGTTATTTGGATCCAAGTTTACAGAGCAAATTGGCTTTCTCTTCAATAATTCTGTTTGGGGATCTTGATTGCATTCCTCACAATGTAACAGCATTCTTCCTATGTTGATCATTTCCCTTGGTCCTTCTTTTCTATCCCTTTCTTCCTTCTGAGCTTTATCCCTGAACAACTGCTGCTCCATTGACCTTGGATGCATTGTGTAAATTAGTTTTCCATTCAATAATATGTATACATTTTGTTTCATAAGATTAATGTAACCGCTCTCTTCCTCCTTCCTTGATCTCCTTTTTTCCCATTCATCCCTCTTTCCTGTCCTTTCCTGCTAGGCTGTAATTTGTATTCCTATAAGAAGACACCTAAAGTCTTCAATGAAGAGAGACCTTAGTTGGTTAAATTAATTACTTATAAATCATTATTTTTTAGCTTCTGTGAAAGATACCTCTAACCAGAGAAGATACAGATGAGTATTTATCCTTCTCAAAGCAAAATATGTGCTGTATATATTGGTTACAAATAGGTGATTTAACTATAATTATAGCATCAAATACTGTCTTTTAATTTTTTGTTTTGTTGTTGTTGTTGTTTTTCTTTCTTTTTCTTTTTCTTTTTTTTTTAACACACATGGTAAGTTCAACTGCTTCCAGAGCTATGGATGTAATCAAATTGTGAAACTTAAGGTGAAAGAACTGCAGGATTCCTAACAATAATCAGGAATGAACAAAACTGTGTTTGGAAAGAGATCACAGGATGTGATTAATTGTTTTCTCATACACTGTTGGTACAAATCATTCTGATATTGTAATGTGGTTTGTTGAATGAGCTTCACCATGCACCATATATGTTAAAAAGCCTTTCTAATGTAATTTCTATAGCTATAACTACAAGTTTAGAACCAAAGAATTGTTGCAGTTGCTTTGCCTATGTGGAAATTCAGTACACTGCACTGATATTACAAGGGATAATGTCACAGCGCATTAATTCATAGTGTCACTGTCCATTCCCCATCATGGCCTCCTCCCATACCTGCTCATATGGGATAATTAGTAACATTTATTATCCCTTTTAATAATAGAGTCACAGATGATTAATATTGTTGTGAATTGCTTAAGTGTAACTTGACTTAGGTCATGTGAATATGAACAACAAAATTGTTTCATCAAATATTGTTTACATTAAATTACTACATTACTCATTATTAATAACTGAGCAGAAGCTTTTAAAATTTATTCTTTCTCTTCTCATTTCATTATTACTTCATTAAAAATACTAATTGATATAGTTACACATGTACAAATCTCTATAATATTGCTATGCAAACATGGGAAAATTCAACAAAATATATATGTATAAAGACCGGAAGCAGCAAATCAACAGTGTGTGCTTGTTTCACTTGCATATGAAACTTCCTGATTAGTTGTTTCCACGTTTTTCTGATTCAATACCAAAATCACAGTGCTGTAAACGCTCATTTGTGGTAAAAGTAAGCATTTTTTAACCCCTCTTAAGGTGTCAGAGGTGTGGTGCTACGGGTTAATGCGTCAGACTGCAAAGCCGTTTGAACTGCAAGGTCAGATGTTCAAGCTCACCAACTGCTCCTCGAAAACCCTATACAGGGTCGCTATGGGTTGGAATTGACTCGACGGCACTTGACAACAACAACAACAATGTGTCACAGGAGTCCTGGTGTGGCGCTGTGGATTAATGCGCCAGACCGCAAAGCCTTTCAGACTGCAAGGTCACCGATTCAAGCTCACCAGTCGTTCCTCAGAAACCTTGTATAGGGTCGCTATGGGTCGGAACCAACTCAGCGGCACTTAACAACAACAACAATGTGTCAGAATATACTTAATAATATGAGTTTTGGTTTCCTCTTAAATGTTAAAAAAAAACAAAATGAGGGAACTGTATATATCGTGAAAATAACTAGCAAATTCTTAGTAAAAATATATCAAACATAAATTGAATCTTAATCTATAATATAATATCTTAAAATTCATTATAGATTTAAATTTTGGTTGAACTATACAATTATTTTGAGTCATATTTGCCATAATGATTTATATTTATTGAAATAAATAGTTTTAGGATACCTGTCCTGGTGTGTCGCTGCAGTCAATGTACTGGATGGCAGGTTTGGTTTGAACTGCAGAATAGGTGGTCTAAGCTCACCAGGCGCACCTCAGAAACCCTATACAAAGTCGCTATGAGTCGGAATCGACTGGTAGGCATTTAACAGCAACAACTTTGTATATTTATGTATGTCTGTATGCCTGTATCTTGCTATCTATCTAGCTATTTATCTATTTATCTATCAATCTCATGCATCTGGAATTCTGTCATATTGATGACAGTTAAGTTCATTGGTATTTCCACCTTTACATTATGATTTGGTAACCTTTGATGCTTTGCTGCAAGCATATGAATTAATTCTTCAAAGTAATTTGATTTTAATGTATTCTTTTCTGTATATAATACCTAATTAAAATTATTGAGCACAACATATTAGTGAAGAGGGAAGTTACTATTTATAGTCGTAATCCTTAACTGGACAGCAAATTGCCTTTGATTTTACACGATTGTGTTATAATTTGATTTATTTTCTAGAGACTGTATTTTAGGCCTGATAATCTTACTAAATACCTCAATAACTCACCACCAATGTACACTATGTATGTCTTGTCAGGCATCTTCCATCTGAAAGTTCCTGAGTCTTCTCCTGTGGGCTCAGCTATTGGAAGAATAAGAGCTGTGGATCCTGATTTTGGAAAAAATGCAGAAATTGAATACAATATTGTGCCAGGAGATGGGGGAAATTTGTTTGACATCGTCACAGATGAGGATACACAAGAAGGAGTCATCAAATTGAAAAAGGTACATAGACAAACTTTTAGATAGAAGAGAAAGAATGAAAACTAAAAATGACAATTTTAACATTTCCTTATTACCAATATTTTGAATTCAATAATAGTTCTTCATATTCAGAAGGTTTTTTTTTAATTTTTTTTTTTTTTTTTCAGAAACACACACACATTCAGTAAGCTTTCAGAAATCCTTACCTTGAATTTATCTTTAGGAGTTCTAGAAGAATTAGGTATATAATGATGAGGTATTTCTATCTGTAGACTCATTATTCTCTGAGTCATTAGGACTGTGAAATCGCAATGTCCAGCTCTATTAATTAGATTAACATTATTTTTTAAAACCTTATCAAAGTTTAATATCAATTTTAAATTATTATTATAAGAATAGAAAACATATTTAATGTAAATGTAAGAACCTGAATTGAATTCCAGCTCTTCAAGTTTTGACCTATTTATAACTTTTCTGTGAATGTGACTGTGACCTGAAGCAAAGAACTAAAGAATGAGGGGATGTGTGTTTCATAAAGAATGAACAGTAATAGCAATATTTCTGAGGCCATGGCTTCTGGGCAAGGGAGCTCCTGAGGATAGAATACAGTTAATGAAGTGTAGACAAAGATAAAGTCAAAGAAGAGAAGAAAGGATGTCAGGACAGCTTAGTAGTAGCCACATCAGGAGCTTGGGATTAGAACATGAGCTGGAAGTTCAATGCTCTGTTCAAATATAAAAAAACTTTTTTCAAGGAATCTCTCCAGATACGCTGGGAAAAATAATGATTATGAGATAAGGAGAGAAGCAAGATTAGATAGAAGACTATAGAAATTATCCAGGAAGGAGTTGATGGAAATTTAAAACATGAAGTTGGTAGCATCAAAGATTGTGAGATATGTTGCGAAGCTGTCTTGCTTTTAAAGAACATCCAAATTATATGTTTATACATATTTTGCTCATCTGGTATATTATAGCACCTAGTAGAATATTTTGGACTTCTAGTGATCAGCACTGGACTTTGAAGCACAAGATTGGCAGTTCGAACCCACCAGCTGCTCCTCAGAAACCCTATACAGGATCATTATGAGTCAGAACCAACTCGAAGTCACTTAATAACAAGAATACAATATATGAATTTTACTCCAAGTCCTGTAATTTGATTTAGTATCTAAATAATTAGAGTTCCTACTTATGTTTCTGTTATTCTTTTGGAAAAGAAAATTGTAACTTAATAACTCTATCTAATAAAAATTTTAAAAGCTACTCAGGATGAAATGTTTTCAACAAAATTTAAAAACTATTTTATACAAGTATGCTAGAGAGTGTATGTATGTATATCACAGGTGATATCTGATTGATGAAACATGAAAGTATGTTGTTGTCAGGTGCCATTGAGTCGGACGGATTCATAGCGACCCCATGCACAGCAGAACGAAACAACGTCCAATCCTGGGCCAACCTCACCACCGCTGCCACGCTTGATTCCATCAATGATGCCACCTGGTTAATCCATCTCGTTAGTGGTCTTCTTCTTTTTTTCTGACCCTCCACCTTACCCAGCATGACATCCTTCTCAAGCGACTGTTTTCTCCGCACAATATGTCCAAAGTATGAGAGACAAAGCTTAGCCATCCTGGCCTCCAAGGAGCACTCTGGCTACACTTCTTCCAAAAAAGATCTATTGGTTCTTTTGGCAGTCCATGGCACTTTCAGTATTCTCCTCCAACACCACAACTCAAAGGCATCAATTCTTCTATGATCTTCCTTATTCACTTCCAGCTTTCACATCCATTTGAGGCTATTGAAAACACCATGGCCTGGGTCAGGTGCACCTTAGTCCTCAAGCTGACATCTCTGCTCTTCAATACTTCAAAAAGTTCCTGTGCAGCAGATTTGCCCAGTGCAATACAACGTCTGATCTCTTGACTGCTGCTTCCACGAGTGTTGATAGTTGATCGAAGAAGAATGAAGTCCTTGACAACTTCAATCTTTTATCCATTGAGAAGAATGTTGTTTATTGGTCCAGTGGTGAGGATTTTTGTTTTCTTGACATTGAGAGGCAATCCATATCAAAGGTTGTGCTTTCTGATCTTCATAAGTAAATGTTTCAATGTTTCAGTACACTTCCATGCAAATAAAATAGTGAACAAGCATTCTGTTAAATAAACCCTTGAAAAATTAAAGAAAATATTTAAGTAAACTCAGTTCTTTAAAAACAGAGTTTTTGATTTTTTTTTAATTGAGAAAATTAAATGTGGTATGTTTTCAGAAATCCTTTGCTTGAACTTGTCTTTAAGAATTTTAGAAGAAATAGAGATATAATAATAAATATATATGTAACTGCAAGAACCATGTGAGATCAATATCTGACTTGCTCTGACTTCACAAGGGGGAACAAGTACTCTTTGCTTTACATCTGGGTTTGGTAATCCATTGCAATGGACACACAGAACTTATAACAATACTCATGATATGGGGTTTATTAGGGAAGTGGACAGAGTATAATTCAGTATCAACAAACAACTTAAGATGCAGCAGTTCTCCAGTTATACTGCAGGCAAACCTCATTTTTGTCTTCGGCCTCTCATCCACATATTCTCAAATTCTTTAGTCAGTCTGTAAATGTACCAAAGGCATATTCTGCTAATCAGCCTCCTTAACATAGACAAACAGTTTTACTCAGTCCATGGGTCTAGAGACCTACAGCCACTCCATGTAGTCACCACTGCTACAAACTCTGCTGTTGCTGCTTTTCTAGGTAGGGATCTCACACTCTGCTCTTCTTTCTTGATCATCTGTTCCTGCTTCTCAGATGTCTCCTTTTAAACCTAGCTATGTGACAAATTCATATGCAAATTCAAACTGAAGCTGAAGAAAATTAAAAAAAGACCACGAGAGCCAAAATATGACATGAATATATCCCACCTGAATTTAGAGATCATCTGAAGAACAGATTTGATACATTAAACACTAAAGACCAAAGACCAGAAGAGTTGTGGGATGACATCAAGAACATCATACAGGAAGAAAGCAAAAAGTCATTAAGAAGACAACACAGAAAGAAAAGGTCAAAATGGATGTCAGAAGAGACACTGAAACTTGCATAAGCATATGGAAGAAAGAAGGAGTTACAAGAGCTGAACAGAAAATGTCAACAGTCAGGTGGAGAAGATAAAGTCAAATATTACAACAAAATGTGCAAATATCTGGAGTCAGAAAACCAAAAATGAAGAACATATTCAGCCTTTCTCAAGCTGGGGGAACTGAATTAAAAATTCAAGCTTCAATGTTTGTTATTGAAGGGTTCTCTGGGATAATTACTGAACAATTCAGAAAGCATCAAAAGAAGATGGAAGGAATATACAGAGACACTGTACCAAAAAATGGTTGATGTACAACCATTTCAAGAGATAGCATAGGATCAAGAGCCAGTAATTCTGAAGGAGGAAGTCCAAGGTGCACTGAAAGAATTGGCAAAGAACAAGGCATCAGGAATCGATGGAATAAAAATTGACATCTTTCAAAAAGTGAAGTGGCACAGGAGGCACTCACTCATCTCTGCCAAGAAATTTGGAAGACAACTATCTGGCCAACTGATTGGAAGAGATTTGTGCCCATTCCAAAGAGAGGTGACCCAATGGAATGCAGAAATCATTGGACAATATCTTTGATAATCCATGTGAGTAAAGTTTTAATAAAGGTAATACAGAGACAGCTGCAAGTATGTACATTCACTATAGTAATTCACCCTGTATGCTGAGCAAATAATCTGAGAAGCTGGGTTGTATGAAGAAAAATGTGACATCAGGATTGGAGGAAGCCTCATTAACAACCTGAGATATGCAGATGATATAACCTTGCTTGCTGAAAGTGACTAGAACTTAAAATACTTACTGATAAAAATCAAAGACCACAGACTTCTGTATGGATTGCATCTCAGTGTAAAAAAACTAAACTAAACTCCTCACCATTGGACCAATAAACAACAATCTGATCAACAGAGGAAAGATTAAAATTGTCAAGGACATCATTTTTCTTGGACCACCTATCAACATTCATGAAAGCAGCAGTCAAAAAATCAAATGGTGTATTGTATTAGGCAAATCTGCTGCACAAGACCTTTTTAAAGTGTTGAAGAGCAAAGATGTTAGCTTCAGGACTTAGGTGCGCCTAACCCAAGCCATATATTTTCAATAACCTTATATGCATGTGAAATCTGGACAGTGAATAAGGAAGACTGTAGAAGAATTGATGTTTTTGAGTTATGGTACCATGGGCTGCCAAAAGAGCCATCAGATCTCTGTTGGAAGAAGTGCAGCCACAGTGCTCCTTTGAGACCAAGATGGCCAAACTTAGAGAAGGTATCATATTTGGTCAGAGAAAAAGAGGAAGACCCCCTGTCAAGATGGACTGGCAAAGTGGCAGCCTCAATGGGCTCAAGCTTGGCAACTACTGTGAGATTAGCCCAGAAATGGGCAGTGTTTCCTTCTGTTATGCATAGGGTCGGTACAGACTCAATGACACCTAAAACAACAATGTGACAAAACGATCCAATCCCAGTCTTAAAATTCTGTATATCTTATTTGCATATTGTTGTTAAGTACCATCGAGTCAATTCTGACCCATAGTAATCCTGTATTGGGTTTCCAAGAAGCAGCTGGTGAGATTGAACCACTGACCTTGCAGTTCAAATGACTTTGCAGTCTGATACATTAGCCCACAAGGCCACCCAGGACTCCTTCGTATTTCCATGGTCCTACCCAATCATTCTTGGAAACCATATACAGTGTTGCTTTGGGTCAGAACCCAATCAGTGGCACTTCACAACAAAAACAATCCAATATTTGGGTGGGAATTAAGAAGACATTGGATAGAAAAGCCATACCAAGTAAATTCAAGGTACCTCAGTAAATATGAAGAGTAATTTTTTGTTTTCATAGTTACATTAAAAATAGTTTCTAAGTTTCCCCATTCATATTTCAGCATAGAATTGCAAAGCAGTGAGATGTAAAATCAAAC